AAACTCATTAAGTAGTCCTTCAGCAGAAACAATTGCCCACCCCTCACATAGGTCCATCTCTGTGTAAAGTTATCACAGATGGAACAGAGACACAGCCATAAGTGGGATGAGTAGCACTTATATTACTACTTTGTTTTAGTGTGAAATACAACTTCATTGGTCTCTTAATTGTTTTTCATTTTCAGTTTTTGTAGTATCCAAGCAAATAAAAGATTAAGTCAGCCATAGTCTTCTCTGAAAAGTGACATCTAAAGAAAAATGAATGTTACTGTAATAGAGTCCCCTCAAATAAAGCTTTATCCCTTTTCTTTTGGATGCCACCAAATGAGTTAGCTTTAAACCTAGAAATGTGAAATACACAGTGACAGAATGCAAAAAGCTTCTTTTATTTAGTATTGCACTAAGTTTCACTGAGAGGTGGTTTTCATCATTTAGGATATCAAGACACTAGGGGGAAATCTTTCATGTTAGAGAGGAGGCCTTTGCAGTACAATGTACACTTGCATTGCAAGTGCCTCCTTCAATAGGCTATTGAAAGAAGAGAATACTATATGGAAAACCACTGGGGAAGGCCTCAGCATGCTAGTGGTGACATCATTTTCTTTTGGGGGGAATAACTTTATTTCCACTGTTAACAAAAGTCTAGCAATAATAAAGTAAGAAATTGCTATGTACTTATTTTTCTTAATGCTCTTCCCTTCAGTGCAGTGGAAGATTCAGAAATGGCCTTGGTTTTCTTTCTTTTTTTTGTTTGTTTTGGGTTTTTTTTCCCTTTGTAACAATAGGACTGCCTACAGACTTGTAAAAACAGCAAACAACACTTTAAGCTCAGCGTGCCCTTGCACCAAGTACAGCTCATGCCCAGAAGAGGCATCACATTAGCTTGAATCTGCTCTCCTGATGTCTTTATAGATCATGCGCTTCAGTGGGGCTTCTGGACAATTTTATCTAATAGCTGATTGAATCTACTTTAGGTTAAAGTGCCAAAAAGCCTCGCTGAAGTGCATGATCTATACAAACACTGGGGAGCTGGGTCAAACTAATGCACTTCCTCTTCTGGTAAAGCTCTGCTTGTTTGTTCATTTGTTTTTCACATCTGTTAGCATCCTAAATATGTGGAAGCTGAATCATTGACTTTACCTAAGCTGTATTTGCCGAGTGTATCAAATACCACAGCCATATCTCAGAAACTACTTGCTCATTCAGTTCATCCCCTTCTTGGCCTGCCTAAACCTAATGGCAATGCACCAGGAACAGGCACCTCTGTGTAAACTTCTTGACAAATATTAAGTGGGCGGAAAGGGCTAAGTTCTGGAAATTTACTCCATCTCAGCAGCAATTCATAGAGGCAATGGCACTCTTGTCTTTGGAGAATGCCTGAAGGAACAACTCCAGTGTTTTATGACAACAGTAATACTAGTAAGAAACTGATACAATCAAATATAAACATGCTGGTGTGTGTGTGGAAGGGTGGTCACATCATGAGAAGCATATATCTGGAAAATCAAATAAGGACTTTTCTACTCTAGTTGTGGAGGAAGGGTAGAAAAGTTGAATAGGTGTCAAAACATGAACTTTATCTGTTTTTTAATTAACTCCAAATTGGTCAAATTCCACAGTCACACATGTTGCTTCTAGGGGCGTGTCCAGACGAGTGCAGCCGTGCAGTATGTTGCACCGCAAACACGTTTGCAGCACCACATGCCATACAGTCAGCTGTTCTCTGTGCTGCAAGGGTGTGATGACTGTGTGTGCTACTCTGAGGAGCACACGTTCAGCAACATGCGCAGCTGAAAAGCAGAGCCGAGCCATGCAGCAGCTGCCGGACAGGCTCCACCCAGAAGGATTGCTACAGCTGCAGCCCTGGGAGGCCCCCAGGGTCCTAGGTGAGGCTTCTGGGCCCAGTCTCCTCTACCCCACTCAGGGTAACTTGTCATGTACCAAAGCACATGTGGTATGGGCATTCCCTGGGGACAGGTAGCTGAGGTGCAAGGTGCACTGCTGCTACTTGTCCCCAGGGAACCAAACATCTATGCTCATCTGGATGTGGCCTAGCTGTTCATGAGTCTTTCAAGGATTAGTCTATTAAGCCTGATGGAAAACCATTAATCTATTAACTATTGATACAAAACAAGAGTATTGTGCCCTAGATATCCTTAGGTGTTCTTTCCAGCCTTTTTGTATCTATAGATGACATGTCAGTACTGAGGGGATTTCCATTTCTTTAGATAATGACTTTTGGGTCAGAATAGGTTTGAGACTCTTTTCACTGCAAGGCTGTGGTGTATTACAGGCCTGTCCAACTGGCAATCCAGGGCCCGCATCAAGCTGCCATATAGCCCCCAGGTTCCTATTTGATATGTCATTCTCTCCATTGCTCCAGTAGCTGCTGCTGAAGTCTCAGTGTTTTCCCTCCTTCATCCAACTTCTGTATTTCACAACAATAACTATTTTCTGAATGTTGGAGTGGGAAACAATTTCACACTTCCATTGCATTATTAATATGTTCAGTAGTGCTTGAATGTATGTTATTTGCAACACATTCTGAAAGCAATGTTATTCTGATTCATTATCTAAATCACCACCCTCATATTTTCAATGAGAACTATACAAACTGTAAATGGAGTAAAGAGATTAAGAAGTGGTGCTTTTAATATTAGCTTCAACTGGTTATTCTATATACTTTGGTTTGGTTACTACTGGAAATACTGGCAAATACCATTCTATAAAGCTGCATGCATTTTTCCCCAAGTCTTCAAACCACACCTATTTCCTTATTTCTCTATATACAGCCCCACAAAAAAAAACTTCTCAAAGCCACCATTACACCGATAGGTAATGAACCTAGTTGACTTCATACGTGTTTCAAAGTAACAAATTAACTTGTTGGAGTACCTGATATGTTTGTAATATCTGGTCTCATAGATACCCTACCATAAATCAGCAAAATGAAAACACGGGGTGAGAATTAAGACTGATAGTAGAACTTCAAACTATTTCTAAATTTTGATGTTGTATATAATAATTACATGATAAGTATACTAATATTTCATATAATATGTATAATAATGTTGCTTTGATTTCACATTTGCTGTTAATGCATCTGTAACATAACATTTTTCTCTCCCTTTCTGTAATCAATGGTTTCTTTGGTTTGATTTTCAAAGAAGTGTCAACAGTGTGAAATATTTTGCTCCTTCTACAAAAAGCCAAGAGCCTTTTATGTTAAGCAGCTCTTGGCTATTTGGGAGCCAAAAGTATTTGGATTTTCCATGGTCACTTTTATAGTAATTTAGTTGTGTGATCTGGGTATGATAAATTTAATCCCAATTCCCAAACATTGTATGTCCTTCCATGCCATACATGCTCCCTGCCCACCCAGATGTTCAAAGGATGCCAAGGGCAACGCAGCAGCAGGGACCAGTTAGCTGATAGGCTGCCAATGTGTCAACAAGCTGAAAGCAGAGGAGAGCAGTTCTGCATAAGAGCCTATCAGCTGCTGGGATCACTGCATAGCTTTCAGCCTTCCAACAGGGATCCTCATCTTCAACTGTTTGCACCACCTGGTACACACACAGCAGCTGGAGATAGCAGACCTCCCTGTCCCCAGCTGCTGGCAGTGTGGACAGCTGGGAATTGGAGACGTCTGCCTGCCTTTAATCGTTCCATGAATGTAATGTCTGCCAGGGCCCTAAAAGGCATAGAGGATATATGATGATCAAGGCTGTAAAGTTAAAGAGAATGTGACATTTATTTCATAGTTTGTATGCACCAAGATAGAAATAGCTATTACAGGCAGATGAACATTAATAATAGCTTTTAGAAGTTATCATAAAAGGACTTGGATTGTTGTATAGCCTAAAGTTGCTTCACATTCTCTAAGGTTTTTATGGACATAAAAAATCATCCAGTTCAATGTTACTAAAAAATTGTGAATGTCTCTTTCCCTCTTTGCCATCAGTTCTCTTTTGATCTTGGGCAAATTACCTTTGCATCTGATCATTGTCCCAATAAAGCTTACTTGAATTTAGGGTGTAGAGTAGTGCTTCCCAAAGTTTTCTTTAGCATGACTATATTTATGGCCCCATTTCTGCAGTATGGCCCCTCATTCCCAACCCACAGCACCCACCCTCACGACTCCATCCACTTATGTTGTGACCCCATTTGGGGTCATGACCCACAGTTTGGGAACCGCTGATGTAGAGGGAAAGGGATTTAGGGCCTCATAATAACCCCTTTTTATTTACAGGTGACCCTTGCCATTCGCAGGGGATACGTTCTGGGTATCCCTGCGAATGGAGAAGTTCACGAATATGGCACTGCGTTCATGAACGTCATTGGCATTCATGAATGTGGTGCCCCTGGCAGCTGGGGGGAGAGGGGGTGGGCATGGCTGCATTGGCGATGGCAGGAGCCTGGCAGTAGCAAGCATGAAGCTCCCAAGTTGCTCCTGTAAGTATATTTAAGATGCGGGTTCAGCATTTGCAAATGTTTGAAACTGTGAATGCCAAACCTGTGAATAGCAAGGGTTTCCTGTATCTCATTTCTGAAATGGCAGGTGATACATTTTTTATTGCCTTTGAAAAACACTTTGAGATAGGCAGATGAAGTGGTTACATACAAAACACCATGATAGTTGGAAAACATATTACAGCTGATTTACTGTTTTCATCTTATCCAACTGAAATTAAATATATTTGGTTTTCAGTTTTTTTCTTTTGATCATTTATTAAACCATAAATCTATTTTTGAAGAAGTACTGTATTCAGTACATGTATGCCAGGAGGGACAGACAAACATGTACACATAATGCTTTGATTGCACACTAGCCTCTAACACCATTTAAGGGAATGTGCACAGGTCTAAGAATTCCCTTCACTTCTTGTTTCTTTCTTGTGCAGATGCCAAGTATGATTTGTAGCCATGCTGGGGGGAAAAAACCCTCGAGTTTCAATAAAATGCTATGAGAAATCTAATTTGATCTCCCTCTTCTTTCATAGTGAGAGAGCAACAGATTTGGGGGACTTGGCACTGAGCTTCTATCTTGTCTCAATGGCATATGAATCTTGCAAGGTAAAATTTCATTTAAGTGACTACACTTTAAACTTATTATACAATTATCATATTGTGATGTTTTTAGAAGGAGAGGGAAAGGTTTATTGTCTTTAACTCTGTCTGGTTTCAGTTAGCAGACATGTTAAGCCACTCTTCATTTTAAGGTATAATTTTTGCATGGTTCTGAAATGCACAGGAAGTTTATGAAGTTTTTGAGTGGGGTTTTCAAAATACACTGCCCTGTATGTAATGATAGCAGGGTCAAGCCACCATTGATTCTGTTTGCAGTTTGACTATTTTTGTTAGCACCTCTTAGTCTCAGAGACTTGAAGTCCCCCACTGCCTATGTTTCATTGTGTACAGTTTCCCATATTTCTTACTAGGTGCGCCTTTTCAAACCAAGGATTTTGGTTCCAACCTTTAACTGCATTATTTTTCTATATGCAAAAAAGTATTTGTGCCTTGAGCTAAATATTCAAATTAGTAAATAAACATATAATCCAGTTTTCTGGATTTTGTAAAGTATCTTGGAAAAAATATTGTTGGTATTAACTAGATTTTTCTTTGCTGTAAGGCTATTTTCATGGCAAAAACATCTCCAACTAGTTGATTTTGTTTTGGAGTTAAAAACAGATCAACTAGATGCACAATTAATTTGATTCTATTGTATTTTCTTGGAGATACTGCACTACTGAAAAAATGCACTCCTGGCATCTTGATTTCAGGTTCCATCATTTTTCTTGAGATGGTGATATTTTTTCCTCAGTTTGTCTTCCCCTTAAAATAGCCCTTTTTTTCATGGTAAGAGAAGAGTTTAAAAACATCTTTTAAAAGCTCAATAAAAGTGTCATCTTTTAAAACTTGCTGCTCAGCTGAAGCATCACCTTTCCTCACTGAAGTCCTCCTTTGAGTGGCATTCTTTAAGGTAGAACCTTTAAAGTCAGCAGAATGCTTCCCAATAGCCCAGTTCCTAAGAGGGGAAGAGTATCTTGCTCCTCAGGATTTATTAACAAACTGAATCCCAGGCCTGTAGATCTTAACTTCCATATACAATCTCAACTTCCATAATAGGAAGAGGAAAAGGTAAATCAGCCTTCACTGTGAGAAAAGCACTGATGAGAGATGTGGGGGAGAATTCTAAATAGAAAAAAAAGCAGCATTTCCTTTCCATCACTATTTCACTTTTGGTTGAGGCTGCTTAGTTTGCTCTTAAGTGTATATACTGTAATTGGAGGCAGAGAACAGAGACAGAAAAAAGGCATACCCTAATCTAATTTAAATAGTGTTTGTATTCCTGATGTCAGTATAATTTACAGGCAGGCAGGTATTCTGGGGTTTTACTTGCACAGTAGGCAAGTATTACTGTGCTTTGCTGGTAGACAGAGAGCAAGTAATACCATGTTTGATGTTTGCCAATAGCTACTCCAGGGTGAATGAGGACAGGTGAGATCTGAACTGGTGTAACGTATATTGGCAAATTTTAATCCTTATTCTTTTAAGAATAACCCTCCACTAGACTGGATAAAAATGGCGACAGTTTAGTAAGATGCATCCTCTCTCTACTACTTTTTACCGTGGTGAGAAACTGATGACAAAAATGTATAAAAGTTTTGTGTCCCCAAACAAGCCCTTACTCCCTAGAGCACTCAAACAGCAACCTGCAGTTTCCCCCAAGTCTGAGTCCAGTTGCTTCAGTCCACAGATCCAGCTGAATGAGCCAGTGGGATTTCCAGTTCTACTGCCTGCTCCTGTACATATGGCTTCCACATGCACACTGCTCTCTCCTCCCCTTGCCCCAGCCTCAAGCTTGTTCTTCCTTTTCCCCTTGCCCCCACAGGTTTCTGGGAGTTAAAGTCCAAATTAAGTCAGCACAGCTCTGCAAATTGCCCCCTGGTTCCTCCTACTGTTACACATGTTACATTCACATTACACAGTATCAGCTGCTATTTGGGGGCAATAAGTGGTGGTAGCCATGTAAAGTATGGGCTAATGTTTTTATTGATACTGAAGTTCTAACTGCACGTTTAATGTTTTAATAGAGGCAAAGGATGACATGGTCTTTGCCCAATGTGTTTGCAATGTAAGTGTCATCTTCTGCAAACCCTTTCATATGAGTCCACCTTAGAGACACCAACCAGAATAGCTACTCTCACGTTCAGGGGTTTGAAAGATGAGGTTCTTGAAAAGATGGCAAAGCATGTGGGGAGATTAGTTTTGAAGGAGCATAAATGCTGGCATGTGTTGTGTAAAGGGCTGTCTATATTCTTGTGTTAGCTGTTGCTATAGCTATAGGGTGCATCTACACATGCAACTAGCCAGTAGCAATAAATTCTGGCACAGTTTGCACCAGAGTTTATTGCTTCTGAACACAGTGTTTACATGTACTCCTGGGACTGCAGCGTGTTGAGCTAGGGCAGAGCAGCCTCAGCTGGCAAGGTGGTAGGGGGCCAGCCGGCCAGCTCAGGGCTGTTCCACCCTGGTTCACCATGCTGCAGAGGGACTGGCTGGGGCATGAGGGTACAATGCAGAGCTAGCCAGCAGGCAGCCCCAACACTAGCACCCTTGTGCCCCAGCCAGCCCTGGTCACTGTCTACATGTGCGTTTTGGCGCATGTAACTACTCCACAGTAGGATAGTGCTTGTCCCAGACAGTACTATTCTGCGGCAATGATTGAGGAGTTAATTACTTTACTGCGCTCAAATACAGACACACGTGTACACAGTGACACTTTACTGCAGAGCTAATTAGTCTGCTTGCAGTAAAGCACATGATTAGATGCACCCATAATAAGGTACCTGTGCTAGTGCAAATCTTATGATACTGTTTTATTGTAAATTGCACTGTTCAACTTTATTGTTGTTACATCTCACTAGGACAAGAGGTATTGGTTCAACCCACTTTTTACCATTATGCAGTGTATCTACAGTAGGGATGCTGAGAGTAATATTTAGCTCTGATTTCCACCATTTGAACACTAAACCATACTCTCGTGTTTTGCATTGACATTGAAAATCAGGAGGAGCTTCACTAAAATTGGTGTCTGAGAGCAGAATCAAGCCAACTATACTCTTAGTAGAGAAATACCAAAAATTCCCTTCATTATAGGATACTTGTTTCTACTTAAAAAAACAAAATTACTAATAGCTGTACTGTACAATCTGTGATTCTTGATTAAATGATCTCAGCCAGGGGATTTGTAATCCTTTTGATTAAGCTTTCTCAATAAAAACAGAGAGCTTATCTCTGAGTGACAACAGAGAAAGCCTAATTTAAAATGAATAAAGGATAGCAGAACTGCTCTACTTTGCTCAGAATCTCTTGTACCTCAGACTGAAATGGAAAATTGGACAGTCATATTAAAATGACTATAGAAATAGACACAAAAGTGATATGTAATTTTTTTTTAAAGAACCTGTGGGCATAACAATATATTTTAAATTCTCAAGTCCTTTCTAAGTAGCTTAATACAAGATGTTAAGTGATGGTGGCCAAAACTTTGGGTACCTATCTTGAAAAATCCTAGAGAGATCTGATTTTTAGAAAGTGCTGAGCACCTATGTTTTGCAAATGAGGTTTCTTTAAGTTTATCACAAATGAGTATCAAAACCAAAAAAAATCATTAAAAAAAAATTAACTTGATAATGTTAATTAAAGAAAAAAGAAAAGCATTCCAGTTGTCAGTTTGTCTGGGTCTCCCAGTACATCCTGCCTGTTTTGGGTCTCTTGTCTAGAATGTGGTCTGTACAGGACTATGCATTTTGTTGATGTATAGGAACAAGCAGTAGCAAAGTGGGATATTTTTAGTTGGTGTGGGTCGTGTGTTTTGGGGTAGGTGACACTGAGGGGGAAAGCATTTTTGATTACAGCAAGGTTAACCGAGTGTTTTATCAATAGTGGACAGCACTGCAGATCAAAGAAATGCAAGCAGTATGTACAGCTATACAATGACCTAGTCCAGGGCTTGGCATACATGGAGCCATGGATTTGACAGCATCTGGTGGCTGGGGCTCTGCCCATGCTGCTTCACAGCTAGGTAGCGGAAACTTTGGGGAGGGGCAATGAGAAGCAACAGAAGTGCGTGTGCCAGCCCAACTTAGACCCAAGCTGGGTCATTCCAGTGCTAGAAAATGTTGCTGGCCCCTAATCCAGTTTAATTGCTGACCCACCTCACAAGGATGCATGGTTGAGTGGATTCTACAGGGTTACAACATTGAGATTCCAGGGAGTCAGGGTACAGAATCTTCCATTAAAGTGTGGACATTAATAATTTGAAAATGATGAACTATCCCTCAGTATTCATTCACTTCCACATTCCTAATGTCTACTAAAGCTGGGTCAAAATGTTCTGAGGACTATTTACCAATAATGCAACTTAATGGCAACTGAAATTATTAAAAAATCTGAGCTGAATTGTTGAATAGATTCAGCCAGGAAAAAATAAAGAAAACTATTTTGGAGAAGCTGAAACATTTACTTTTACAGCTAGTTAGGCATTAATTGCAAGCTGTTTATAGGCTCTTGCAGGAGATGCATACACAGAAAATTTTTTAAAAAAATCTGTTTTATAATCAGTGTCTGGACCCCTCAAGTTGCTGTCACAAACAATGATATATTCTAGATTGTGTGTCTTACTGAAAGAATGAAGTCTTTCCTTGACTCTCCTTCATGCCTTGCTCACAGCATAGCATATAGGATCCTACACGTCCTATCTGGTCTTATTGCTTAAGTTTTTTATTTTTGCATTTTTCAAAATAGCCCATTCCTATCTTCAGTGTAAACATTTTATATTGAAAACTCATGTTACAACATTGTGCCACAATTGATTAATCACAGAATATGTAGGTAGTAAGGAAAGAAATAACTTTCTATAAAATTAGTGTCACTATAAGGGTGATACTCTTATGATAAGTTAAATGGAGACCTTATGAAGATAAGGTATGACACAATCCAAAACTGAATAGAGTGGGTTGGTTTATTCTGATATTGGAAAATGAGTTCATATACCTGAAAATATTTTC